AAAAGCCTGGGGCCAGACCAAAGGCCCGAGTCCTGGGTGCCGGAGGAAAACTGGTGCCAGCAGCCAGGGGAAGGAAGGCCTATTGAGCAAATCTTTGTGCAATGGGCTTCTAGTACACACATATACATAAATATATTGATGTCTGAGAGGAAGGGAGAGGAAGAGAGAGAAACATCAATGATGAGAGAGAATCATCGATCGGCTGCCTCCTGCACACCCCCAACTGGGGATGGAGCCTGCTATCCAGGCATGTGCCCTTGACCAGAATCGAACCTGAAACCCTTCAGTCCGCAGGCCAATGCTGAGCCAAACCAGCTGGGGTGGGTTTACCTTTTGTGCGCATGTAAATGAGTGTAAATACTCAGATCTGTGTTTTCGGGTTTGTCTTTAGAGTGTGTTATGTGTGTCTGTGTGTGTGTGTTTACACATGTGGGTACGTATGCATTGTGTGTGTATGCATGGTACCTGCACTGTATGAATACACGTGTGTGTGTGTGTATATATAGTGTGTGTATGTATATCTGGGTTTCTAACAGCCTATCTAATAATAGACAAACATGGTAATTGACCGTCCCTTTGCCATGCCCCCCATTGGCTAATCAGCACTATATGCAAATTAACCCAACCAAGATGGCGGCTGGCAGCCACGCAGCTAAAGCAAGCAGGAGGCTTGCTTGCTCCAGTAATGGAGGAAGCCAAGGTTCCCTGCCTGCTGCGGCCCAGCTCTGAGCTCTGAAAGCAACAAAGTTTCAATTATAGAAGCTAAACAAACCCCAGATACCTGTTTTCAGCAGGCCATGAGCTCAGAGCTGGAGCGAGCAGGAGCCGGCTCTCAGCTCCAGTGACAGCAACAAAGTTTCAATTATAGAAGCTAAACAAACCCCAGATACCTGTTTTCAGCAGGCCATGAGCTCAGAGCTGGAGCGAGCAGGAGCCGGCTCTCAGCTCCAGTGACAGCAACAAAGTTTCAATTATAGAAGCTAAACAAACCCCAGATACCTGTTTTCAGCAGGCCATGAGCTCAGAGCTGGAGCGAGCAGGAGCCGGCTCTCAGCTCCAGTGACAGCAACAAAGTTTCAATTATAGAAGCTAAACAAACCCCAGATACCTGTTTTCAGCAGGCCATGAGCTCAGAGCTGGAGCGAGCAGGAGCCGGCTCTCAGCTCCAGTGACAGCAACAAAGTTTCAATTATAGAAGCTAAACAAACCCCAGATACCTGTTTTCAGCAGGCCATGAGCTCAGAGCTGGAGCGAGCAGGAGCCGGCTCTCAGCTCCAGTGACAGCAACAAAGTTTCAATTATAGAAGGTAAATGAATCCCAGAATTTAAAAAAAGAAAAGAAAAAAAGGAGAGGCTGGGAGCTTCAGTCGCCGGCCAGCCTAAAAATGGCCCTCAGCCCCTCACCCAGACTGGCCAGGCACCCCAGTGGGGACCCCCAACCTAAAGGGGGTGTGGCCAGCCTGAAAACAGCCATCAGCCCCTCATCCAGGCTGGCCAGGCACCCAAGCAGGACCCCCACCCTGACCCGGGACACCCTCAGGGCAAACCAGCCAGTCCCCACCTGTGCACCAGGCCTCTATCCTATATAATAAAAGGATAATATGCCAACTGACCCTAACAGCAGAACGACTGAGAATGACTGGTCACTATGACACACACTGACCACCAGGGGGCAGACGCTCAATGCAGGAGCTGCCCCCTGGTGGTGAGTGTGCTCCCATAGCGGAAGGGCCGTTGGGTGCCAGAGGCCGGGTTCACAGCTGGCGAGTGCTACTGTTGCAGCGGAAGTCTTGCCTGCCTCTGCCTCTGCGGCAGCACCACCAGCAGCCTGACATCCCCTGAGGGGTCCTGGATTGCAAGAGGGCGCAGGCCAGGCTGAGGGACCCCACCGGTGCACGAATCCGTGCACTGGGCCTCTAGTTGTGTATACAAATGGACATGTGTACATTGCATTGTATGGGTATGTGTCTATTGTGTTCTCTGAAAGGGTTGAAGAGAATGAAACGGGTCAGAGAACACTTATTGTGCCCAGCGGACATCTTGCAGAAAGCTTGCAGCCTTGAGCACCGCACAGCCCGGATGACTAGACATCTGGCCCAGGGAGGAGCCGAGGATGGACCGGCCCCGTCCCTCCCCTCAGCAGAGCGGCTTGCAGCCAGAAGGACTAATAAAACCTCTCTCTCCCTTCCCTCTCTGCCGATTCCCTTCTCAGACTCGGCCCACCTGCACCCAGGTGCCTGGAATTAAATTTCTTTTGATACATTATGGCCTCAGGTCATAGGTGCACAACCTAGGCCCACTCCGAACCTTTCACATACGTGTGTGTGTAACACACAGAGAGCGTGCTGGTGGTTGGGAACACATGGCTGTGTGTATATGTGAGTGTACAGAGATGAGCGGACAGCCATTATGTGCATCTCTAGTGTATGTTTACTTGTGTGTTTATAGCCTGTGAGGACACATATGTGGGTGTCTGTATACGTGAGCACACGTATACGAACCTCTATGTGCTGGGGATCCCACTTTGAGAGATGCCTGTCTTCGCACGCCCTGCCGCCTACATCCCCTCTGAAGGGAAGCTGCCAGGCTCACCCAGAATGAACCGCTTGGCCTGCCCGCCCTCCGGACACGGCAGAGGGAGCCTGAGGTAGACACGTGGCTGTCTCCACAGCGGCTCCTCCGTCATTGGCTGTGGCCTATGGCTCTGTAAGATGACCTGGCCCGTTCTTTATCTTGAGAATTTTTACTAAAAGGCTCAGAAGGCAGTTGGCATATGAGAGATGTTTTTCCCCTCCTGATACCAACTGGGTGTCCAACAATTCAATTCAATTCTGACCCTATTTACCTAGAACAGGGGTCCTCAAACTCCGGCCCGCGGGCCACATGCAAATACAAATATTGTATGTGTTCCCGTTTTGTTCTTTTACTTCAAAATAAGATATGTGCAGTGTGCATAGGAATTTGTTCATAGTTTTTTTTTTTAAACTATAGTCCGGCCCTCCAACGGTCTGAGGGACAGTGAACTGGCCCCCTGTTTAAAAAGTTTGAGGACCCCTGACCTAGAGTTTGTATCAACAGCCCTAGCTGGTTTGGCTTAGTGGATAGAGTTCTTATCAGAGCCCACGGATCAAAGAGTTCCGTTCCACAAGACTGTCCTCAACTTCAAACACGGATCAAAAGTCCGGGGCCGCCCTAGCCAGGGTGATAGAGTGTCGGCCCGTGGACTGAGGGTATCCGGTTCGGTTCTGGTCAAGGGCACATACCTTGGTTGCAGGATCTGTGTGGGAGGCAACCAATTGATGTGTCTCTCATATCGATGTTTCTCTCTGTCTCTCCCCCTCCCTTCCACTCTTTCTTTCTTTCTTTTTTTTTTCCTTCCACTCTTTCTAAAAAAAAGAAAGAAAGAAAGAAAATCAATGGAAAAATATCCTCAGGTGAGGATTAACAAAGCAATCAAACAGTCCCGGGCCATTCATGCTCTGACTGACCAGCTATAAATCGGGGTTCTCGTGACGCCCTCCGCAGCATGGAGAACTGGCTGGAATGGCCCACAGAACTCAGCAAGGCCCTTGCCTGCCATTTGTAATGGTGCTGCACAGTCAGGAGAGGTACGGAGGGTGTTGACCCAGAAGGGCCCTGCGCCGGGCTCGGTCCTGGTGGAGTTGGGGTGCACCACCTCCAGGCTCAGGGGTGTGTGTGCCAAGGCAGAGGCTCTCTGAGCCCCATTGTTGGGGGGTTTATGGAGGTGTCATCCTGTGCACGTGAATGATTAAATCATCAACGGTTAGTGATTAAGTTGAATTTTGTCCAGCTCCCCTTCCCCGAGGTTGAGGGGTGGGGCTGAAAGTTCCAGTCTTTCAACCACGGCTTGTTTTTTCTGTTGACCTCACCCCATCCTAAAGTTACCTAGAATTCCCTTATCAAAAAATAAGCACTCCTATCATCCTTATTACTCAGGAAATGCTAATGGTTTTATGAGCCGTGCCAGAAACCAGGCTCAAAGACCAATGTCATTCATTCACTGAGACCGTGCAGAGCTGCTGGGCAGAAGAGGCTCGGGAGCTGGTAACCATAAAATACCCGAACAGACGTGCACAGAATCCTCAACGGAACTGCAATTCCTGGCCCGGGGATCACAGAAAAGCCCAGAGAGCTGAGCGATGACACAACCTGTGCTTTTCACCTCCGGTCCCAGCAGGCGTCAGTGGCAGGAGTGGGGTGGTTGCCCGGCACAGGCCTCCCGAAAACCCTGGGGACTCGCAGGAGGTAGGGGCACTGAGAACTCCGCATCCCGGGACCTACAGCTCCAACCGGTGGTTTGTGGCGCGAACAAGTCAATTGATCTGTCGTCTGGGAACCCTTAGGGCGAGTCAAAGGCCCCAGAAAGATGAGACTTTAAGACGCGGTCACTAACGCTAAGCGAGCAGCTGTGCGTGGAGCAGAGCAGGAAGTGAATTGTTCCGACCCACCATGATGTGGCCAGAGGCCAGCCAGGAGAAGGAGAGCAACTACCGCTTGGCATCGTTATTTTATTATTTTACTAGAGGCCCAGTGCA